CCCCAAAACCCCAAAACCCCAAAACCCCAGAAGAGTAGATTCTGATAAATAATAAAAATGAAGCAAAATCATAAATTATTATTAAAACAATGGTAGGGATTAACTATGCGACGGACACAAACAATCTCGTGCCTGAACGCTCAATTAACATTTCATTTTTGGTGATTTACACCATTACATTGTCACTTTTGCTCAGCACATCCTATAAGACACTCAAACTCAAGGAGAACAGATCAGTTCAAACTGTTTTCACTATAATTTTCATAATGTTAACTCTATTAAGTAAGATGATCTCTATTTGATCATACTTTCTTCAAATTTAAGCCATAATAAAGCATCACTGTTTAATTCTATCTTATAGTCAGGATTGTAGTGTTTATCTATAACTTGGCAGTTGGAGATACTAATAGTCAAGATTTTTATATGAGAGATCAAATAATGAACTACTTTTACTTCGACATCCCATTCGATTTCATCATTACAGCTTCGATAGTTTAATTCTTTAATTGGTAAGTTTATTTTTCATGTTATACAGTTCCTTTCACTTTGAAATCTTATATCACTTTTCAAGATATATACCTGTTAGCAAATATACCAGTTATTTGCAAAGAAAAATCAAACTAAACTTATTATTCTTATAGGCTATAATTTTGCATGTTTATTTACAAAGAAGGGGAGGAAGCTTAGCTAGTTTACAAATAAATAAGATATAAGATATTGCTGCTAGTAAGTGTGATTATCTCACTGATAGCTTTAATGCTCAAGCTTATTGCAGTCATAATGGCTCCTGAATACGGGTTGACTTTCCTAGAGTAAGTATACTTACAATAAATAACTTAATAATCATAGTGTGACAGACAGCATATTATTTGCAATATATTTTGCCACTACATTAGCTTATATTCCACTTTATATGGCTATTATGAGGAAAATGAGGTCTTCATTTCCTAAAATATATGAGGAAATTAGATGCAAACTTTCACTGATCTTTACTATTTACATATTCTTTCTGTGTGCGAGACTGTATCTGTATGCGGATATCAAGAAACTAAAGCAAATATTCTCGAATCCAACTATCTATGGAGTGATACCGTTCTATCTCTCTGAGATAATTATTACTATTGCTATAAGTTATGTATTATTTGCTGTTAGCAGAATGGAACGTAACTCCAAAACTCTTACTGATAGAAAATCACGTTACATAGATACAGATGATGTTCTGTTACAGCATAACTTACTTAACTACAGTTTGAAGGAAAGTGGCTTTGGAAACATCAATAAGAGCATGAATGAGACAATTTTGAAGCATCCAAACTAAGTAATGAGCGAGGGGAACAACCCATCATTCATCAAAGACAGTATTATAGCTTAGCGATTTGAGGGTTCTGACAGCTACCGAGGGGAGAAAGCAACTGGTCAAATCGATGGATCCAAAGAATATGAAAACTTTGAACCGAAGACTATTGAGATCTTGGATGATGACGAAGTAGATCTGAATTAGTCAGACAGCTCCAACGACCTCTACTCAGATTCCTACAATAGAGGCAAGAGCAACAAAAACGCTAGAAAACTTAGCTAGGGTTATAATCAAGGCTATTTGATGCAGCCTTACGATGCTCCACTTCTTAGTCCTAAAAGCGTGTATAGAGAAAGTCTGGCCAATTACTATAATAACATGGGTAGTGTTAAGTATTAACTTAACAGTCATGAGCAGAGTAAAGCAAGTGAGTTCAATAAATTTAGTAGATATCAGGAGTCAGGCTCCAATGCTGGCAGTCATTACTAGTATGAAAGTAAAAGCAGCAACTAGAGTAAAACGAATGAAATCGGGCAAGACTTTAAAAGCAAAATAAAGCAAACTGTAGCTGCTCCAGACTAGAGCAGCAATGTAAATAATCAGAGCAATCAAATCAATACGGGGAGCAATCAGAATGCTTCTCTTAGTCCTGTCGGTGGTCAGGGACTATCATCTAATAATCAAAATAATATTCATATCATTTGAATCTATAGCAATATTTATTTATACATAAAGAATTATTCTTCTTTGATTTATTAATCTTAAGTTGTATTTACGTATCTTGGGGTTTTGGGGTTTTGGGGTTTTGGGGTTTTGGGG